ATATATATATATATATATATATATATATATATATATATATATATATATATTATAATGTTTCAATAATTATTATATTATTTACAATCAGGCTAATGAGGAGGTGGTTCTTGATTGTGATGAAAATAAAAATTCGGAACGTCTAAATTGTCTTATGATATCTATACCTGGTCTTAATAATTGGGCAAAAGAGAATATAACTGGCTGCGAATTAAATAAAAATGATTTTACAAAATCTACGTCTAGTAGTTTTTCAACTGAAAAACGAGCTTTAGATAATGATTATGATGATGATGATGATAATGATGATGAACCGATGGATACTACAGCAGAACCGGCTTTGAAAAAAGAAAAATTATCAGTTGTACCACCAGAATCACAAACTAAAAATGATTTTTTTTTTAAATCCAAGGTAATTATTTCGCAGGATCATTTAATTAATTTTCCAATTCCAATAGTCGATGGTAAAACATGTGTAGTTAAAATTTACAATGATAATTGTTATAAATTAAATCAAGTACTCGATATTGTTGGATTCATTTCTTTGAATCCTAAGATAGATGATTTAACAACATCGGAAGCAGATATTATTATGGATGAAATAGAAATAGCTGAAGCTCAAATGTACAATCTACCACCATCATTTATTCCACGTCTTCATGCGATTAAAGTAAATCAACTTGTTCCAAAAATATTTTATAATAATTATAATTCAATAATATCGAAAGTTAATTTAATACGCAGTGATTTGCATTTAGTATTGAGTCAATTATTATTTGGAGATGAATTGGCTGCTAATTATGTTATTTGTAATTTATTATCAGGAATTTATACACGCAAAGATTATTTATGTTTAGGAAATTTTCCATTAAACATTACTGGATTTTCAATTGATAAATTTCCATACTTTACAAATAATTTTTATGATATATTAAAATTATTTGTTGCTAAAACTCATTTATTTGAATGTACACTAGATAATTTAAATAATTCAAAGTTAGTTCCGCGAAAAGATTATGATTCGGATAAATTGTTAAGTGGAATATTACAATTAAGTGATAATACTCTATTAATAATTGATGAAACTAAATTAATTCCCGGACAAGTAACACCTAATGGTAAAATTAATTACAAGGCAATAACTGATTTAATTAAATTTCAAAAAATTAATTATGATTTTAAATATTATACTATTGAGTATGAAACAGATATTCCAGTGTTGATATTATCACAAGTAAAATCCTTTATTCCATGTGCTATGCAAATACCATTAAAGATTAATGAAGAAACTGATAAAGTTTATTCTCAAGTTATTGAAGCAACAAAACAGTTTCTTAAAAATTCAGAGAGACTCAATAATATACGTGGATATTTAGAATTACTCCACTCAAATGAATTAAAATTAAAAGATGATATAACAGATATTATTCAACAAGATTTTGTTGACTTGAGACGTATTGATAGCAAATTAATAAACGCTGATAGCTTACATCAACTTATGGTTTTTGCAAGATTTATGGCTATTAGTTATGGAGAAGATTCATTATCCGTTGAAAGATGGAAACAGATATTGACCTTGGAAAAATCAAGACTCGCTCGTTTATCTAATTCTAATACATCTAAATAATAATTTACATATAATTTTTGTACTTGAATAAATTATTTTAATTAATTTTTTCAACTTTTATAAACAATTATTTACATAGAGATTTACCTATACAAAGCTAAATTTTGTTTCTTTTATTTTAATTGTTTTATAAGAAACAAAAATAGCAATAAATTAATATTATTTTCTTTTCTCTCTCAAGTATTTCTCTGTATTAAAGAAATATTTCGAGATTTCAAATAAAATTTAACAATTTATCAAAGTTTGGTGATTACTAATAAAAGATTTTTTTTTTTTTTTTAAATATAAGAAGAATAAGAATCGATTCACTAACTTAACATTAATTTTTTAGTACGAAAATAATTAAGATTAATTAAACCTTAGTATGACCAGTATCATCAAGATACGTTGTATCTAAAACTTTTTTAATAATTTCAGAATCATTAATCGAGTCAAGTCGACTTTTTTGTTGTTTTCGTAGTGATTCTAGACCTTTTTTAGCAGCTTGTGCGTATCTTCTTGATAAAGATATTTCACTTTTAGCTCCAGGAATGTGTCCAGTGTATCCTACGATTGGTGGTTTATCTGGTGATACTTGATTGTCTACAATTGTATAGTAATAATATTAATAATTATATAATTAATTATAAATAGTAATGACAAATTACCAAAAAAAGATTTATCTAGATCAAATCCATGGTCAATTTCAATATCAACATTGTCGGTTCTGGCTCTTGACAATAAATTACGTGGATTTGTTCTTTCTATTTGAGCACGCATAGTGTCACGACGAATACGTAATTTATTTTGTAAAGTACGCCACTCTTTTCCACCTTCTTCAACAGCGCGCATAAATGGAAGACCATATTTGTTATTAAATCCAGGAATATAACCCGTATAACCCAATATAAATGGAGATGTTTGATAGTTGTTATTATTACTATTTTTACAGTTTTTTCGTGTATCATGTTCTCTTGATATTGGCAGTAATATATCTTTACCAGAATTAGGTCTGTATGGTCCAGATTTTAGAATTTTTTTTTCCAGTAATTCCTGTAAATTTAATCAAATTATTATTATTATCATTTATTAACATAATAATATATATCATCAAAAGTGTTTGAAATTTAGTGCAACACTAATATTATATATTTACTCGCAATACAGACTCACATGTCTCTTTTTACGGCCTTCCTCGTTATTTTTTATCATCTTGCAAATTAAATTTTTTTATAGATAAATTTAAAATTATAATTTTAAGAAATTGAGGGCAGGTTTTCTTTATAAATTAAACAATTTAACGTAAACCATCTTCTCAATTATTTATTGCTCTATACTAATTTATATTTCAACGATACTTTTCATTTTATTTAATTGTTTTTTTCTTCTTAAAGTTTTTTAAAAATAATCAAGTATATACTGACCTTGATTATTTCTTCGGTGCTAGCGCCGAATCGTTTTCCTACTCGAAATTTCAGGGTAGGACAGTGTCCTGTGTATCTAAATAATAAAATAAAACAAATATTTTTGTATAGATAGTAGAGGTATTGTTATTTTTTTTTTATTTAAATTGTGGATTGGGTGCAACAGCCAGTAACCAGCGCGCATAACTGATGACGAACCGCTTATTAACCTTGATTATATTTGAAAGTGTTGTTTTGTTGTGGATGAATAACCCTTATTTTGTACTATTTATTTTTTCATTATTACTTATACTTGATAAATAATTTGTATACTTTTGATATATTTCTTAACTTAATATTTAACATTATTAATCGATATCAGACTGCATTGCAGGTGGAATATTTGTTATGACAACATTGTCATAAAAATCGATAAAATATACTGTTGATGGTTAATAAGAAAAGAATAATAATAATAATAATAATTAAAATTCAAGGTAGTAATTATAGAATTGATTTACATAATATATGTTATGGAACATTTTAAATAATAATTAAAGAAATATTTAATATTAGGGGGTAGTAAGTGCATAGTTTCATGCGTGATATGATGTGAGCTTGCGTGGTAATCGGATTGTATTATAAATACAGTAACAAATTGGTACCAGTCTTCGTACAAGTCTCAATACTTTTTACAATTTTTTACCAATACATCTATGTTTAAATATTTTTTTTTTTTGTTAATATCTTATTTGAATTAATTTTTTTTAGTGACATAATTGTTACTGACAAATTAACAATTTGTATAATTGAATTATTTAACGATTGATTAAGTTTTATTAGAGTATAATATATATGTGATAATAACGTTACTAATCAAGTTAGTATCGGCAATAGAAAAAAAAAAAAAAAAAAAAAAAATAAAAATTAATTTAATTTACATAAACTTTTAAATTGCAAATTTATTGTGAAAATGATTTTATAAATAGTTTATTATTGAACAAATTTGTTATTACCCAGGTACATGAGCTCCATATCCTTGTCTAAAAAATTGTTTTCTCTGTTGACTAGTAACTGGATCAAAAACCATTTTAAATTTTTAAACTTGAATAAAGAAATATAAAAATATGTTTCATATTTTTTTAAGTTATTTTAAAATTTGATGATGAAAATAAAATAAATACAAAAAGTGCCCATTATAGTAAAAATTAATATGATTTTTTTGGTTTAAAACAATATTTAATAATTGTTGTTTTGAATATTGTATCTATAATAAGTAGAAACTGAGTAGAGTAGAACACGAGTTGGCGCAATGAATGGGTTACTGGCTCGCGCCAGTGAAACAGAACCGTATAAAGTCCGACTATTACTATTACTATGACTGAAAATATACAATATACAAAAGTCTATATATCTATGTTGCTTATATACATAATAAAGTTAACTCAAGTGAACAAAACTTTACTCCCTCCCTTAATTGTTATCCAAATTAAACGGAAACCGCTCCTTCTTTTTCCATTTTTTATTTTGACAAAACAATTTTTATTTTATTTGTTAACCAATTAAATATATACACTTATTCAAACTAATTTACTCTTATTGATATAAATAATATACTCGAATTTGTTAATTAATTTTTAAAAAATCACTTTCTAGGGGTAAATTTTCTTTTTATTGGGGTTCTTTCTTTTATTTTTTATTGGAATTTAATTCAATTAAAAATTAAAGAAATAATATATAATGTTCGCGTTTGTCTTTATAAATTCTTCTCTAACAACTGCTAATTTTAAATGTTACCATCAGTCGAAAATATAAATATTTACTCAATTTTTGCTATCTTATATATATATAATTAAAAAATACTATAAAATTTAACAATTAATAATACATTTTATTACTATTCGCTTATTTGATTTGCATTTAAAAGTAAATAGTAGCATTATATAAGTAATAAACAATATATTATATAATTTTTAAAATTAGTAAATATATTGTAATTATAGTATTTATTTTATCTACGGTAAGAAGAAAATCAATGGTGATTTAGTGACGTAAGAGTCCCGCCTTAGATTAGACCAATAGCGTTAGTAGTAGCCCCACTATTTTATTAAAAAAAAAAATAATACAACGCAGAGAATAGCCAAGAGTGTGTAGAGGAGAGTATAGTGTATGGAGACTGTATAGTCTCAGAGTGTGTGTATAGTCTCCATAGTATAGTGGTTAGTATAGATATCGTTTGGTAGACCAAAAGTTGAGCATCGATGTACGCCGCACGCCGCCAAGCGTACTCATTCTGAAACAGTCTGCCGTGGTGAATAGATATTAAATGCATATAATATAAATACATACAACTCAATAAATCAACTATTACGGGTTGGAAGTTGGAAAAGTAGAGTACTTTTAATATTATTATTAACGTACTTGATAAACTTTAATCGCAATAAATTATTATTGATATAAATATTTTTTTGAAATTAATAGTATTTGTTTTATTATCTAGCTAGTGTAAAAACATCGTAATACTACCTGTCTGTGTTTTATTTTATAGAAAAATTTCATTTATTTATCAAAAGTTTTTTAATTATTATTATTACAATCAAATAGTGGTGACTAATTAATTAACGAGTGACAGTGAAAATTTAATAAAATATTTAAACGTATATAACTATAATAATAATAATATTATTATTACTTTTAATATATATAAAAGAGTTGAGTGCATTTTGGATTACCGAGATGGCGTTTATGATGCCTGTAGTCAAAAACGAGTGGGATATTTACAAGACTAACCGTAGTAGAAGATCCTCGGAATGTTCTAATCCTCAGGCGTGTCGTAGTCGTAAGGTGAGTCGTTTATTTTTTCTCTTATAATGTATTTTATTATATTAACTTAATATCGATTTATATTTCCAACTATTTTTGATAAATATTATCTACATTGTTACTATCATCATCATCATCATCATCATCATCATCATCATAAGTATAACATTTTAAATAATAATAAATTATTCGCCGGTATATATATTTCATGTATTGCGCAAGTCTTTTATTTATTTTTTCATACATCAATTTTATAAATGAATTTATTTTATATTTTTTATATTAAAATATATATTTAACGATAAAACTAAAAAGAAAGTGAATTAATTTTTCACTGTATTTCGTCATTCCTTTTGACTCGTGCCTCATTTTCTCTTTCCAACAGTTATTATTATAATGTATATTATAAACGTCTCATTTAGTTAAGTATCATTATCATTAGTTGAAAATAAATAATGCCATCATATAATTTTTTATCAACTTATATTTTTTTTTTTTTTTTTTTATCTAACCGAATAATTTTTATAAACAAATATATAATTTTCAAAACGTTATTTTAATTGAAATTAACGTCGTATTAATTGATTCTAAGTGCATGTAAATTTGAATAAATATTCAATAACATTACTATAATTAATTGTTGTTGTTGTTATTATTGTTTATATTAATTTTCAAAATAGATAGCGTGTCACTTTACTTTTCCAGCAATTGGAGAGGATATAGGGCCTTGTTTGTAATTACATTATTGTTATTAATAGTCGGAGAAATAAATAAATAAATAGTATTATTGATTATGTATAGTTGTTACAACAAGTACCACAATTGAATTTATAGTGTGTATTGTAATATTATATGATATCACATAAAGCAATAAGCATTAAACATATAACATTAAAACTAAAAGATATTAATCAAGTGTTTATGTTAATCTGATGAAAATTTATAATTTATAGTTACATGTTATAAACGGATGAATTTATATTGATTTGTAGTTTTTGATATTGTTTTTTAAATGATTTATATTATTCTACTGTAATTTATGAAAATAGTGTTTTTTTTTGTTAATTAATTTTTTTTTTTTTTCGTCTGTTATTATTGATCATAAATTTTAATATATTATTTATATTAAAATAAATTTTATATAAAAATAATTGAAAAAAAAATATTGTTAGTAATTATTGATACTTAATTATTTAAAAGGTATCTGAATGTTCAAAGTCAGAAGGGCCATCGCTCTCAACATCACCAGGGTCAGATTTTTTAACATCCCCTGCCCACCGGTCAGTAGCAATGTCACGTCATTTTTCGCGGACTTCATCACGAACATCTCAAAGTTCTCTCCAAAGTCCATGCAAAAGTACTGGATCATCACCACCTAAAACTGGTAGTTCAAATTCCCTCAACAAATTTCACAATCGTCTGGTAGATAAACTTAAAAGGTCATTAAAAAAATCAGACGACAGTGGTGAAGATCAAAGAAATTTATCGTGAAACAGTCAAGGGGTTTTGAGTCTTCCACCAGTATCTGGTTATCACCGAATTAGCTCAAAACCCATCGAAATAAATAATTCAACAAGACGAATTTCGGGACCTCTGGTATCAAGGATTCCTATATTGGAAGATAACAGTGATGATAGCAATGATAACAATTATATAAATGATACTACTAAAGTGGTGCGGTCATGTCCGGATCGATCTGCTGCATGGTGAATTTTTTATTATTTTATTATCAAATATCTCAACGTTATTATCATCATCATCATCATCATCATCATCATCGATACTATTATTATTATTATTATTATTATTATTATACTTTAAGATAATGTAGTACAATATTAAAATATTAATTACATGTCACAGTGTACTACTAGTCTGATGATATTACATTTTTTTTTTTAATTTGACATGTCCAATTAACTGTAATGAGTAAAATGGTACACTGAATAAATTATCAGCTAAACTACTATACGGTTACGAGACGACTAATATCGACAACTACCATTACAATCATCAAGTAAATTATATATATATATATATATATATATATATA